TGAAGTGCTTCATATATTTAAAATGAAATAATATGTCAGTCTCAGAGGTGGCAGTGTTGGGTCGCATACGTGTTTGTGTCGCGTCTAGGTAGTTCAAAACGCGTTTTGGTGTAACGACATATGGTGCAGTTTGCTGCCCCTACAGACGTCGTAAGAACCCTCGACATCGAACTCGTTCCCACAAGCTTCCTAGAAATAGAGGTGCTGCTCCCCAGGGGGGGGTCCTTCACGTGGAATGCTTCCTATTGGCGCCTCTAATAGAAAACACACACACACCTCAACGATCATTGGCTGGAGAGGGCTATGCCTCCATCACCAACACGATGCCCTATGTGCCTTCATGATCCCATCTATCCATCCTCTTCATGGTCCTATCTGTCCTATTCATGATCTCATAAGACTTTGATCAAAGAGAATGGATAGGCGTTGGCACCATCGGGAGACTCGGAATGGATGGTGTGGTCACATACCGGTTCGGACCGACTCCTATACCCATTCTAAATGAAATAATTCATATATGGGTGAAATGAGTAGTGTGGCTTATGAGCATCGGACTGTTCCGGGTGTGTGGACATATCCATTCCGAGTCTCCCGATGGTGCCAACGCTTATCCATTCTCTTTGATCAAAGTCCTATTTAGTCATGAAGAAGATAGATAGGATCATGAAGAGGATAGATAGATGGGATCATGAAGGCACATAGAGCATCGGGTTGGTGATGGAGGCATAGCCCTCTCCAGCCAATGATCGTTGAGGTGTGTGTGTGTTTTCTATTAGAGGCGCCAATAGGAAGCATTCCACGTGAAGGACCCCCCCAGGGAAACAGCACCTCTATTTCTAGGAAGCTTGTGGGAACGAGTTCGATGTCGAGGGTTCTTACGACGTCTGTAGGGGCAGCAAACTGCACCATATGTCGTTACACCAAAACGCGTTTTGAACTACCTAGACGCGACACAAACGCGCATTGGTATACCGGTGGCGATGCACCCCTCACTTGGCAGCAAACTTGCCCTTCTTTCTGAGGTGCGAGCTCACCACACCCGTCCGGGCCGATGCAGAGACCGGCATCCTCGCCCGTATCCGTGTGGCAGGCGCTGACGAGCTCTGGAGTGGATCGTCGTTCAGGATGCGGTGTGAGTTCAGCACGGCCCTCTGCATATCCAGGCGGATGCCCTTGATCCTCTGGCGGAAATGCTCGACCTGGATGTCCTTTGCGCCCGAGTTGGGATGCAGGGCCATATAGCGATCCATCTCGACAAGGGCGTCGTTCAGCTCGCCTTGGAGCACACGTATGAATGGGGACTGGCTCATTTTCGTTTTGTATGAGTGTGCTGCTGCATTTTCTTCAATATATTTTCACTGTGCAAACCAGCAGGACCCGACCGATTCCCACCATGACATACCACCGGCCCGGTACGCCTTATGCGTTGCTTGAAGCAAAGCTGATCGACCATATGACCCCAAAGGTGTATGAGGGTATTATGGAGCTCTGGAAATACTCGATCAAGCACTCGACGACACCTCTGCAGCGCTTCCAGAATGCAATGACGCTGATCCCGCAGTGGACGAACGAGGCGATCGATAAGGAAACGCACCGCATCTCCAGCACCGCCCGCTTTTCCCTGGGTGGTATGCTGGACCACATCCTCTCTGGGTATCTGACGGATCTGACGTTAACGTCGACTTCTTCCCCGCATGAAAAGGTCAAGTCGAACAAGGATCTGCTGAAGGACTTTGTGCACCACGCATACATCGAGTGTGGCAGGCATTTCCACGGCTGCCCGACGGCAGTCGACCACCTGGCATCTGCCCCGCATTCGCTGGACGACAAGATCCGCAGGTACAACAGCTGCGAGGAGATCATCCGGAAGGCACTGCGATCGACCTTGATTAACATGATCCCATTCGAGGACGTCCTTATCGAGCTGAACAATATGCCCCCGCAGCCGCTCTTTGCCGCACCGCCTGCACCCGCCCAGCCAGCACACTCGGCATCCGAGATGTCATCGGTCGACAGCGCATCGATCAAGACGCTGACGGATCGCTTAGAGAGACTCGAGCTGCTGCTGATGAAGCAAGCATTGCAGCAGCAACCGCATTCGCCGCGCATCCAGTTCCCAGCGACCAAGTCGCCGCCCACGGAAACGGAGGACGATGCGTCGGTCGCCCGCATTGAAGTCGAGCATGAGGATGAGGGTGAACCCGAACCCGAGCATGAGCCTGCGCCTGCGCCGGTGCCAAATGTCGAAGACGCGCCACCCGCTTGTGACGACCAGGTACCAGAGCTGCCGGTGGCCGACGATCTCGTTCAACCCCTGACGCAACCCGGAACCGTCGTTCCCGAGATCAAGTTTGTGCAAGTATCCAACCCCGCATTTCGCATCGGCCCTCCATCATCTGTGGCCGGAGCGGACAACAGCGTCGACAGGACGTTGGGATTGTAGGCGTTGGATGTTTTTTTCTATCACCAGAGAAGCAATACAGTGCCCACACTGGCTTTCTTCAACTCGGTCCAAATGGCTCTTCAATCCTCCACCGGTCTCTGGATTGTCATCTTTGTCTTGATCGCTCTGGTCATCCACATGCACCTGCGCCTGATGGAGCTCGAAAGCGGTGCCCCCAGTCGTCACGGCTATGGCAGCCGCAAGACCAGCAACGGTCGCAAGCAGTGGTGGCACAACGGAATCAAGCGTGTGGGTGGGCTTTGGGAATATCTCGCCGACACCCCGACGGCCGCATCGGCTCCCACCACTACCACCAGCACCAGCGCAAATGCATCGGCCACGCCGTCGACGGCGCAGAACACGACTATGTCGTCGACTTCAATGTCGTCGTCTATTGTGAACCCGGACGACATCGCCATTCCCAGCGACCCCACCACAGGCGCCAGCGCGGCCATCACCGGACCGCTCGCTCCCTACGATTACGAGGAGGGGCAGTACGCACTGTGGAAGGCCCCTTCCGCGAAAGGACAGTAAAGATATTTTTCTCATATGTGGGTATACGACCGAGCTCGCCAGCACCATGGAGTGTCCACGCACTATCAATTTCAACGGCCACACCATCCGCATCCGCATATGGCAAGACGCCGAGTGCAAGGAGCTCCATGTCAACTCGCGCGACTGCCTTCACATACTGTACCCAGCAACACCCCGGGTCTTCCACAACCTCAAGTACAAATGCAAGCGCCTCACTGACATCGATCACCCGAGATATGCGATCGTCAAGGGCAACATTCGATACCTGAATATCCACCAGCTCGAAGAACTAGTGGCAAACATCAAGGTCGAGATCACCGGTGGCCAGGAGATGCTCAATCGATTGATCGCTCGACTCACCTTTGTCTCGGACGAGGCGATCCTGACGACCCCCGATGCCTATCCGATGAACTCTGGCAAGGTGGTGACCAACTTGGAGCCAGTTGTGGAACATCAAGTGACATGGAAGAAGAAGACAGTGGGTCTGCGATGCTACGAAATCGACTCCGAGTACTACATCGCGGCACCAGACATTGGTGTCATGGTGGGCAAGTACATCGCCCGTACCGATCCTGTCGCCATTCATCGTATCCGTCAACAAGCAGCAATCAATATCGCCAGGCATTTCAAGTCTGACGACCAGGAGTCGCCCCTTTGTACATCCAAGCTAGTGTCGCATCGCGATGCTCGTGGCAACACGACTTACCTATTGAATGGCGAGCAAGTTGTTGAACTCATGTGCAATATTGTCAATTATTATGACGGGTTAATGATCAAAAATCACCTGCGCAGTAAAAAATATGGTTTCGCGATATATCGTTCGTTTTCGAGACCAGCCGTTTCAGTGACTAGTGCCACCGATTGTAACACGATACCGTTTTCCCGCTTGATAAAAGGGCTAGAGCTGGTTCATAGTAAGCTGCAATAATAAATATACATTTTGACACCATCCATTTGGCTTTGTGTGATGGGGTGAGGGAAAGTGATGAATTTCGTATAGGGAGACAGACTTGGAAGCGAAGGTGTGAGGGAAAGTGATGGATTTCGTATAGGGAGAACGACTTGGAAGCAAAGGTGTGAGGAGAAAGTGATGGATTTCGTATAGGGAGAACGACTTGGAAGCAAAGGTGTGAGGAGAAAGTGATGGATTTCGTATAGGGAGACAGACTTGGAAGCGAAGGTGTGAGGGAAAGTGATGGATTTCGTATAGGGAGAACGACTTGGAAGCAAAGGTGTGAGGGGAAAGTGATGGATTTCGTATAGGGAGAACGACTTGGAAGCAAAGGTGTGAGGAGAAAGTGATGGATTTCGTATAGGGAGAACGACTTGGAAGCAAAGGTGTGAGGAGAAAGTGATGGATTTCGTATAGGGAGAACGACTTGGAAGCAAAGGTGTGAGGGGAAAGTGATGGATTTCGTATAGGGAGAACGACTTGGAAGCAAAGGTGTGAGGAGAAAGTGATGGATTTCGTATAGGGAGAACGACTTGGAAGCAAAGGTGTGAGGGGAAAGTGATGGATTTCGTATAGGGAGAACGACTTGGAAGCAAAGGTGTGAGGGGAAAGTGATGGATTTCGTATAGGGAGAACGACTTGGAAGCAAAGGTGTGAGGGGAAAGTGATGGATTTCGTATAGGGAGAACGACTTGGAAGCAAAGGTGTGAGGGGAAAGTGATGGATTTCGTATAGGGAGAACGACTTGGAAGCAAAGGTGTGAGGGGAAAGTGATGGATTTCGTATAGGGAGAACGACTTGGAAGCAAAGGTGTGAGGAGAAAGTGATGGATTTCGTATAGGGAGAACGACTTGGAAGCAAAGGTGTGAGGGGAAAGTGATGGATTTCGTATAGGGAGAACGACTTGGAAGCAAAGGTGTGAGGGGAAAGTGATGGATTTCGTATAGGGGGAACGACTTGGAAGCAAAGGAAGGTATCCTATACACCCCGCCGTTGCTCGGTGTCCCTCCATGACGTCGATGGAAAGACTCTAAGGATATTAAACCCAAGTAGTTTACCTGATGCCTCGAGATGTCGTACTCAAAGGTCTCAAAATTCAAGTTCCAGAATACTGAGATCAGAACTCGTATATACCATGCTTTGGACATGCTTGAGCATCAAGTCTCCATTCGAGATTGCCTGGAAGCGCTGTTCCCAAAGAGTGATCACTTGGCCACGAAGGCCAGGATTCTCTACCAGTCCTTCATCCCCAATACCATTCATTCCAGATTCACGATGGGAAAAGGGAAAGTCACCTTCCTCTCACTCAAGTACCTTGGTATGGTCTTGAACAAGCTCCCACCCAACGACCATAGCCGCGAGTTGATGCAGGCGCTGAAGCTTCATACGTCACCCATCACCGCCACCCACGAAACCGCCATGGATGTCGACCCTGGTGAGGTCCCAGCAGCGGATGACGATCTCCCTGAAGCAGGTGCTTCCGCAATTTCGCACCCGATTACCAGCGACTCGGTCGAAACGGAAGAGCTCGTTCAGGTTGAGAAAGATTCAACCAACCCCCCGCTGCATCCTGATACCATCGAGTCACAGGAGCAGACAACAACCGTGGCTACGACGACCACGCAAGATATCCAAATCCAGTGGACAAACGCCAAGACCATGGAGACAAGGGTCGATTCCTTTACCAGGGTCGAACAGGGTGATTTGAGCAACACCCTCTTCCAGTCCACCCAGCAGACCATTGCTCGCTTTGGCGGTGGGTGCCTCTACGTCACCCTCATTGGATATCTGCGTGGAAATCCAGTCATCAAATTTGGCCAGACAGACAACTTCGACAGGAGATATCAAGAGCATATCAGTGGAATCGGCCCCAACAAGACCATTGGCGTCCTTCACACCCTTCATCCCAGACGTGTCGAGAAGTTTTTTGCTGATCGCTTCTTCGCCGGGCATCGTATCACTGCCACCATCCCTGGATCGAGTGGACGGCTCAAAACTCAGACAGAGCTCTTCCTCATCCACCTGGACCTATATGATCCAGAACGCATCATGGCCTTCATGCAAGACTGTGTTGATGCGGTCGATCGTGAATTCACTAGCGACAGCGACAAAGTGAAGATCGCAAGACTCAAGCATCAAGAAGCGATGGTAAAGATGGAGCTTGAGAAATTCAGATTGGAGCTCCTTGCAAATCTCATCAAAGATGGGAAGGACGTCACACCCCTGCTCAGAATGACTGGGGGCACAGCAGTGCCCTCAGAGACTCCGTCTGCCTCGGGCCCGGATGCGGTCGGCAGTGTTTGACTTGCGTGTCGTCCTGTATTCGCCCGTTTCTCTCATCCTGTACTGGCGCCCATATGAAACAAAGATCTCGTCTCCATTCCTGATGTTCCTGATCGCACGCACGACCAGCGTCCCATCCCGTTTCTCTGCGAGTCTGGCGTTGATGCGATGGCCAGTGCTGTGGTTCACCAGAGTGCCGACACCTCGCATGCAGGCGCCGTCCTCGTAGGGATACCTGCCACTCTTGCGTAGCTGGATGCCATATGGGGCAGTGTTCCTTCCATATCGCTCCTCCAGCTCGTCCTTTGAGATTTCCTCGCCATCATACTCGATGATGACATCGCCATTGCGAAACACGATCGCATCGTCCTCCGCATTCCGATCAAAGGCGTAGAGTCCCTTGCCTGCTTCAGCGATCCCCGAGTTTCGGATCTCCAGATGACGCTCCAGTGCCAGGTGGGCGTAGCAGTAGCGCAGGCCGATGCAGGTGCGTCTGGTGCAGCGCCCGCCATCCCTGCGGGTTCCGGTGCACTGGGTGCATTGGAGACGACACTCCCATGGCTCGTCGCTTTTGTAGGTGAAAAACAAAGACGTCTTTGGTGGCATTCTTTTGGAATGCAATCAGATATTATTGGAACGACAGTAAACAAATCACACCAGTAGCAAGTGCGTTGGTGAGAGCCTGTGTTTTCCGCTGCTCCCTACCATGTTCGACTTTGACCCGTGGAAGTGGTGCAGGGCTGTCGCAGAGACAACCCGCATCGTGCAGTTCCCCCCACGCACCTATAGACCAGATATCCCCCGTTCGTCTCACATTTCCGTTGGAGAAGATGTCCTCGCAGACACCATCAAGTCGCAGCTCCAGCTCGCACCCGGCCAGGCCAGCGGTGTCCAGCTACGCGTCGAGTCCAGGCTGCGCCACGATCGCATCAGTCCCGGTATCAGTGTGAATGAACTCACCGACATCACAACGCTCCTGGGCATGTACTATGCCACGATGCGCCTCCCAGAGCTCAACGCCATCCAGCCCGAAGACAACGCAATGCTGCTCGCCATCGCCCTGGTGCCAAACCAGATGCGCCTTGAGCTTGAGGCCCGATTCATGCGGCAGCTTGCCGGGCGACCCGAGCTCCTCAAGTGGTATCGCAAGCATGTCAGGGAGCGACTTGGACGTGTGCCTCTGCAGGCCATTCCAGAGGTGAAGAAGCAGCACACCGCAGAATACTTCTTCCTCGGTGCATACCACAACCAGCCCATCCCCATCACCCAGTATTTCATCGACCCACTCCACATCCTCGGCCTGGTGTTAGGGATAGCTCCTGCTTGTTCTCCACTTTGACTGCACACTTGGCTATTCTTTTGCCTTTCTGTTTGTTTGTGTGTAGCCTTGCAGTTCCCCTCCGATTTTCCGCCTTTTGCCTGTCTTTTCCGCTCCTTCCGCACTTCCGTTTTCCCGCGCTGCTCCGCTTCCTTTGTCTTCTTCGCACGCGCCGGTTTGTTTGTGCACGCGCCTTGCTGCGATTGGTTGCAATTCGGCTGCCGGTCATGTGTCCCCCCACCGGTGACTCATGACCTGCCTGACCGCCCCGATCTCTTGTTCATCTCGCATGCATTTGCCCCAACCTTATACTTGACCAATCCGCTTCTTGGACGTTGAGTCACATTGCTTCGCCTTTGCACGTTTCTCCTGCCAGGTGCTTCGCTTTTGCTTGCGCCTCTCTCGCTTTGGTTCTCTGCCTGTCTCGGTGGTCCTTCTCGGCCCTCGTTCGTGCATCGCCCCCTTCGCCCTGCTCGATCGCCCACTTTTCCCTCCCTTGGCCGCCCTTCGCTGCCAAGTCCGGACTTGTCTATAAATAGCCTGACCCCCGCGATGTGTAGTCGAACCTTAGCGTTCAAAATAGGACTAAATAAAGTGCCTTCTACTTTATTCTCTGAGTGTTCCTCACGTCTCATTTCGAGACAAGTCTTATCTTGAACGGATCTTTGCTTCCCTCGCTCCCTCTCCGAGTCCACTTCGGACTCTACCCTTGCTTTCCCTGAGCTCACTTCGAGCTCACTTCTTCTTTTGCCGTTGAGTCCCCTTTGGACTCTAACATCATTTTGAACGCTCCCTCTTGGCTTCCCGGCCTTTCTTCTTCTTTCGCCTCTCTTTCCCTCGTCGATCCGATGGCTGAGCCTGCTGCACCCCCGGCAGATCTCAATGCGTACCTGGCGCGCATGGAGGAGCGTATGAACGCCCTCATGACCCAGAACGCTGCTCTCCATCGTCAGATCCAAGATCTGCAAGCTCCCGCCGCCGCTCCCCGCCAGGTCTACCAGGTGAACAAGCCCAAGGAGTTCCTAGGTTCCCGCGACGAGACGACGGCCTTCCTCGCCCAGTGCCACCTCGTCTTCCTCGCCGATCCTGCCTTCTTTGCGCCCGAGCGCCAGAAGGTCCTTTATGCCACCTCCTTCCTCCGCGGCGAAGCTTTCAAATGGTACGAGGCCGCCTTTTATATGGCCAACCGCTTCCCGGCTTCCTTCGCGGATTTTGAAGTTGCCCTCAAGTCGACCTTCGGTGAGGACACGGCCTCCTCGCAAGATAAGGCCTTGAACGACCTCAAACGCTTGGTCCAGCTCAAGTCCTGCCAAGCCTTCGCCACCCGCTTCGTCCAGCTCGCCGCCCGCGTCCAGACTGACGAACCCACCAAGATGCACTTCTTCAAGGAGGGTTTGAAGTCTGAGGTCAAGTTCCACCTCATCGGTCTCCGCCCCGCTCCCGCTTCCTTGCCCGAGTTGATCAAGGCAGCGGTCGAGTACGACGATGCCCTCCATCGTCTCAAGGTCTCCTCCCGTTCCCAACCTCCTCCTCCTTCTTCTCGCTCTGCTCCCCATCACCACCATTCTCCCGCGCATGTTTCTTCTTCCTCCTCTTCTGCACCCACTCCCATGGACCTTGACTCTGTCTCGGTCCGCCCTGCTAAGCTCTCCGACGTCGAGAAAAAGCGACGTCGTGAGCAGGGTCTCTGCTTGTACTGCGGGGAAAAGTCTTGTCCCGGCAGTCGCGATGTTCAGCAGTGCCCGGTTCTGGTCAAACGGAACTCGGGAAATGCTCACAGCCGAGCAGCACCTCGCAAGTAAGCGAGGTGGTCTGTTCGGCGATACGAACATCTTCCCCCTCTGACTCGTCACTATCGGACGATAAGCTTCTTCTTCCGGCCACTCTTATCGTCATGAGTCTTTCTGGCCCGGTCTCCATCTCCCTTTCTGTTTTTATTGATGATGGATGTTCCGCTCTTGCCCTCATTGATCCTGCCTTTGCCGATCTCCATAAACTCTCTCTTATCCCTCTTTCTACTCCTTACTCCGTTTCCCTTGCTGATGGTTCTTCGGCCGGTTTCATTCGTTTCCAAACCGCGCCTTTGACTCTGACCATTGGTTCCCACACCGAGTCGATTTCTTTTCTTGTGACTCGACTCTCCACCACTCCCATCACTCTTGGTCTTCCCTGGATGCGCTTGCATAATCCAGTTGTTAATTGGAAGTCCCTCTCCCTTTCATTCTCCGATCCCTCTTGCCTTGCTGATGGACACATCCTCGCGGATGTCTCTGCTTCTTCCTTGGACACTCCGTCCGCTTCCGGCTCCTCGCCTCCCCCTTCGGGCACTTCGCCTTTGACTCCTCCTCCCTCCGGTCCTTCCCTTACACCGGTTCCCTCCTTTGGCACTTCGCCTTCCCTTTCTTCCCGCCTTGACTCTGCTTCGCTTTCTGAAGAGCCAACGGCTTTATCTTCACCCGACATTGAGCTCGTTAATGCGGCGAGTCTTCTCCGTCTTGCACGGGAAGACAAGCTCGACATTTTCGCTGCCCAAATGGATATCCGTCCTCCTTCGCCGGAGACGTATCCTACGGTGTCGATAAGGTCCGTGCTCACGACGAAGGTGTATGCCGAGTCTGGCACCCCTGTTGACTCTCGAGGCGTCCCACTCAAATACAATGAGTTTGGCGACGTTTTCAGCCTCAAGTCTGACCCTCCTTCTTCCTTGCCTCCTCATCGTCCGTATGACTTGTCCATTGAGTTTGTACGGACCGAGGATGGAAAGGAACCTCGTTTGCCAAAGCCGGGGAAAGTCTATCCTTTGTCCCCGGCCGAGGAATCTGCTCTTTCGGAGTATCTGACCAACGCCCTCGCACGTGGTTGGATCTCCAAATCCTCTTCTCCCGTTGGTGCTCCCTGCTTCTTCGTGAAGAAGCCCAATGGTGGTCTTCGCCTTTGCGTCGACTACCGAGGCCTCAATGCCATCACGAAGAAGAACCGTTACCCACTTCCCCTCTTCCAGGATCTTCTGGATAAACTTTCTTCTGCCCGCGTCTTCTCACACCTCGACCTTCCTGATGCTTACCACTTGGTTCGTGTCAAGAAGGGCGATGAGTGGAAGACTGCTTTTGTTTGCAAATCTGGCTCATTTGAGTACAATGTTATCCCCTTTGGTCTTTCGAATGCCCCCGCTGCTTTTCAGTTTTTTATGAACGACATCTTCTCGGACCTCCTTGGTGTCTGTGTTGTCATTTATCTTGACGACATCCTGATCTTCTCAAAAGATCCCCAGGAGCATGAGGAGCATGTTAAGCTTGTTCTCTCTCGCCTTCGTGAACACTCCCTTAAGGTCAATCCGGCCAAGTGTTCTTTTGACCTTTCTGAAGTTGACTTTCTCGGCATGATCATTTCTGCCGATGGCATCAAAATGGACCCTGCCAAGGTCGAGGCCGTTTCCCTTTGGCCTGTTCCCTCTTCTGCTCGCGATATCCAAGTCTTTATTGGTTTCGCAAACTTTTACCGCCGCTTCGTCAAGGACTTTTCCGCACTTGCTCGTCCTTTGACTTCCCTCACTACCAAATCCTCCACCTTCTCTTGGTCTCCCGAGGCCCAAGAGGCTTTTGATTCTCTTAAACTTTCCTTCACTTCCGCACCTATTCTTCGATACTTTGATTTCTCTAAACCCGCTGTCATCGAGCCCGATGCTTCTGACTTTGCTTTGGGTGCCGTCCTTTCTCAGTTTGACCCTGACGGCGCTCTTCACCCCGTTGCTTTTCACTCTCGGCAATTCCGTCCCGCCGAGGTGAATTATGACACTCACGACAAAGAGCTCCTCGCCATTGTCGATTCCTTTACCGCCTGGCGTCATTACTTGATGGCTGCCGACCCTGATATTCCCACTCTTGTTTTCTCTGATCATCAGAACCTTACCCGGTTCACTGCCGCTTCTCAACTTTCTCGCCGCCAGTTCCGGTGGGCCCAATTCCTTTCTGACTTTGCTTTTCGCATTTACCACCGCCCTGGTCGTCTCAACACCAAAGCCGATGCTCTCAGTCGCCGTTCTGACTTTGAGATAAAGCCTGGTGACTCCCTCCACTCCACCAACTTCCTTCAGCTGTTCGAGTCTATTTCTCTCGACAGCATCACTGTTATCGGCTCGAATCCCGACTTTCTTTCCGAGATTCGAGCTGCCACCCTTTCTTGTTCCCTCCTTTCTGACTTTAACGCCAAACGTCTTGATGGCGATTACTCCTTCCGTGACGGTCTCCTTTACTTTAAAGACCTGATCGTTGTCCCTTCCCCCGAGCTCCAGCTCAAAGTGTTTGAGCAACGTCACTGCTCCGCTGCC